AATAGATATTAGAAAAAAAACTATATTTACATTAAGCTTATTATATTATTAAATTAAATTTAAATTTCATAAAGAGTTCAACTTATTACATTAAATTTACTTTTCTTATTAAAATAAAGAGAATAAATTTAGGATTTTTTTTTATAATTTCAAAAATTCTTAAGCGATTTCAAATTACAAAAAATATAAAATTTAAGTACTAAGAATAAACTTAATTAAAACTTAAAATTTGATATATTTAGATTAAAGACTATAAAGAATCTTTAGAAATATATTTAGTAATCAACTATTCAAAAACTTAATTATTTAGCAAACTTAACGAGTAATTTTTTATCGCGCAAAGCGCGGCTAAGTTGACTAGTATAGATATACAAGTTAGCTATAAATAAGCAATACAAACTCATTATTCATACCAGTCTCCACTAAGTTATAAGAAGAAAATCAAAATATCTCTCATACATAAGTTTCGATTTCATTCGTACTTACAATCATGTTTCATCTACCATCACGCTCATCACGTCGTCATCGACACTCCACCATCCTACACCACCACCACCAATGCCTCAATTGTTAATATCCAATAGTGCCATTCCCGATTCCATAATCCCTACATACACCACCACCAATGCCTCAACCGCTAATACTAAATAGTACCTTCCGTTCATGATTCCACCAGCACTTCCACAAATGCCCCAATCATTAATATTCAATGGTACCGACACCAGCACTACCACCATATATGACTCAACCCCTAATATTAAATGGTACCATTTATGATTCCACCACCCCAACGCCATCACTACCACCACCAATGCCTCCCCTGCTAATATTCAATGGAACAATTCCCAATTTCACCACACCAATATCATCAACACCTCCACAAATGCCTCAACCGCTAATATTCAACAATTCCATTCAAGACTCAATCAACACCACAACCACCGATGCCTCAAACCCTTATATTCAATTACACTTTTTTCAGTTCCACCACTTCAGCACCACAAATGACTTAATCAATAAGATTCAATAGAATCATTCATGATTTCACCACCATCATCCCCACCACCATCAATGACTCAATCATTAATATCAACAACACCGTTTATGATTGCACCAAACATGCACCACAATCAATGCCTCAATCGCTAATATTTGAGTGGTATCATCTCAGATTATGTTGACCAACCATGGCCCCCTCAAAATGTTGCATTCCCTTCAATAGAATATTAAATGGTGGTGACAATGAAGAACCCCCAAAATGAGTCTTATGGTATG